TCTGTATCCCTGTACTCTCAGGACTTACTGAGCCTGCAGCAGTCTGGCACTTGGCAGAAAACATGTAGTCTGTTTTTTGGAGACTTTGTTTTCAATGATGTTGGTTCTCTCATATGTTTAGGTGTTTACATGGTTGGAACAAAGGGTGCACGTGGTCTCCCCGGGCCTCCTGGGAAGTGTAGCTGCGGCTCCCTCAGCAGTTCTACCTTTGATGATTCTTCTTCCAAAGGAAACTATCTCAAAGTACCAGCGGTGAGAAGTAATGGTCTTAAATGGAAAAAGTTATGTGCAGTATTTTGTCATGTCTGTATTCCAATTTTAGGGTCTGAATGTACATCATTTGACACATTGCTGAAAAAAAATTTTTTTTATTCAAATCTTAACAGTGAATTTTCAGATATTCTGCTACTAGATATTATTTTCACATACATCTTTAGAGACCATTGGGTTATTGGATTTTAATGACTTTTGAGTCAATTATTTACATTTAGAGTTTGTAGAGTGGGTAGGTGGATATAATATCTCAAGATTGGACTCCAATGGGACTCAACCTTATAATTAAATGTGATTTTTTCTCTTTGCGTTTTATTCAGATATTCGTTGTCAGCAACGAGGAAGAACTGGAGCGCCTTCACATCGATAATGCTCTCGCATTCCGCAAAGACCAGAGATCTCTCTATTTCAAAGACATTGATGGATGGCTGCCAATCCAGGTATCACAGCATCCGGCTGAGCTTAGCTTTCTTTTTTGTTGGTTTGTTTGTACAGCTTTCTGATGACTAAGCAGGTTTTTAACCTCTGTAAAAGACTTTTCCATTCCAGCTGACACCGTTCCAGTCCATGGAAAACGCACCTGATGATGAAGGTTACTGTGGAGACGGGGTAGTGCAGATTCACAGCGGGGAGGAGTGTGATGACAGCAATCGAGTCGTCACTGACGGCTGCGTCAGTAAGTCATGCGTCCATGCTAGTCGGCCTATGATATATTCTTGGTTGTATTTTGCTGTGCACATATAAAATGACCCCTCCACCTCTGTCGTCTCCCCTTACCATAGAATGTAAACACGCCTACTGTGGAGACGGGTATCGCTATGAGGGGGCAGAGGAGTGTGATGGAAAAGACTTTGGATACCAAACATGTAATTCATATCTTCCAGGGTGAGCACAGTGTACAACTACTTGCTACATTAAAAAGGCCAAATGTTTTGTTGAGATGTAAAAGTGACCACAGGGCGTCTCTCCTCTTGTTTTCAGGTCATATGGTCACCTCAAGTGCACACCATACTGTGTTATTGACTCCACAAACTGCAAGTACTTCACTTGAGGAGGAAGCTGGACGGTGCAGCTGGATCCTCGGTGTGATGTTTCCTTCACACACATAACAGGAATATTTTCATGCAAAAAAAAGTACAAATATCGCTCCAAGCAAGAGACTCTGACGGAAGAGGAAGCCAATGATTCTACGACAAAAGAAAAACAAAACATATGTATATATATGTATAACTCCTCTGTGCTGCTGCTGACATGCCACGTAGCTCCTTGGAGTTATAGAGTCGGTCAGGGGAGGCGAAAGCCTTCACCAACACATCGGAAATGCACAGGAAGATTACAATCTGTCGTAACAAGCAGGATTTAAGACTGGCCTCCTCCTCACCACGCCTGATTGAACCGGACTCGGCCTCTGGATGCAACAGCTGTGAGACAGCCATGCAGAGACTTAATTAAGTGCCAGTTGGAGATGTTGCAGATGAGCGGTAACGGGGCCTGAGTCGTGTTAATCTTGACCCAGTTACTGTTGAGAAAGAGAGGCAGTAGGACATCCAGAGCCATGGCCCCAGGTTTTCTACTGCAGCGTGAGTGACGGTGTACAGCATTTGCATGAGGCTGGGATTAATAAGTCCATGACAGCAGCTGTCACTATCCAAGCATGTAACCTATCAGTTTGTTCTTTATTACCACAGCAAGGTTCAAACTGTGTACTGTCATTATCACATCACACTTTCAGTCATAAAGGTAAAACCAGGCATATACTAAGATCAATACTTTTGGTTAGAGATAGAGATCCATGTCGTTAAAGTGCATGAAGTATGCACTTGTAATATTTCAGACTGTTACACACAGAGACTGCAATAAACCGGACATTATAACCTTGTGATGTTACTGCACTGTACACAGACAAGGTTTCATAAATTCAAAATAACCTCTCAGGAACCAACAGGTAATGTAGCTCCACAGGGCACCGTTCGCAGGCATCCTCCTCTACTCTCTTTGTAAATCAAAAAGGCAGTGACTGTTCACCGAGGCACACAGGTCGCTCAACAAGCGCTCCGACCGATAGACAGCGCGCAGGCCTGTAAATACAATCAAGCTCCTTCCCCCCGTGCTACAATGAGAAATGATATATACTGTATGTGAAGGCTTGAAACTGTTATGTTCTTAATAATCACTCACTGCACAGGGAAGGCTGGAATAGTCTGTAGCTGCTAAAAGGGGGAGGAACTTCAATTTCCACTCTCTTCTATGGTCATTACTGTATTTACTCTATTACCTCTTTATCCAGTCTTTCTGTCTTACGGTATATACAGCAACAGAGAAGCTCAATGGTAAACTTACCTGTGGAGAAAATGTAGTTTTGCTGTGTGCTGGGCACCAATAGTGAAAAATGACTTTGCCGATATAAGCTGACATTTTCCATAAGCTACTGTATCAGTCACAGTGCCAAGGGAGAGCTTTTTTTTCTCAGCTATACTTCTATGTAGTCCGGTGTTACAAAGTGAATCTTCTGTAAAAAAAAAAAAAAAAAAAAAAAAGCAATGGAAAGATTAAGACTGTTACTGTAATTGTGTCTGCATGCTCGTGATGCCGTACTAATCATCGCCACACATTGTTTCATAAATCACCATTATTCATCAGCATAGCAGGTGTCTTAAGAAGTGTCCGTTGTGCTCCAGCCAGAGTGTAGTGTCAGTACTGTCCGTGTGATGCACCTCTATATGATAGTGATGAACTGTGCCATGCACAAAGATCAAATACTGTTTGGAAACTGTGTTGAATGTTGTGCCTGTGGCCTGTGCTGCTGTATCTGTGTATATGCACAACACTGTTGAAACATAACATGCATGTGGTAAAGTACTGTATAAGGCTTTATGAAATATATTATTCCCTGTGACTGGGCTAGTGATCAAGTTCATTTTGTTTCGTTATTGTGATATGATTTATACAGTAGCTGTTTAAAAACAAGTGAAAATAAAAGGGGTCATTTAAGTCTTTTGCTCATTATCACACGTGCATTTTGAATTGCTGTTCATGTTTTGCTTCCTGTGAGCAAATGCTGACAGTGATTGGAAGCTGTGCAAACACACCAGAGATGGAGGTGCAGTTGATTTTCTCTCTCACAGAAAAAAAACCCCCTGATGTCTGTCAAGTGCAAAGAAAAAGGGTGTTGTCAGCGGCTCCTTGCAAAGTGCTGCGATAGACTAAATGGTAAACAGACCACAGTGAACTCAAGAAATGGTAGTTTGTTTTTTAGCTTTCTGTTCTGCCTCGACGAAACCCCTCCGAGCTGAGTCTGGAGATGAGGCTCTCTGATACCGGTCTGTGGACGGGCAGCCAGTCAGTGGTGCAGCAGAGATGTTTGAGGCTCAATGCAGCTGTGTAACTCTATTAGCATGATGTATTTCTTTGCTAAATCACATCAGTACAATTTGTCTGCTGAGATGTCTGAGTAAAAGCCTACCTTGGAGTATTTTTCCCATGGCATGCATTCCCTTGATGAATCACTACTTATAATCCTTTAATATAACCATTATCCACAATGAGCTAATTCAATTTTTGCTTGTAAAGGTATTTGTTAGTCTACTTTATTAATTATTCTAAAACTTTTATTCAAGTCAAATTTTGAATGAGAATTTTCCGGTTGTGGTTTTTCTACAGGAAGTTTTCAGGAGACTTCTCAATGTATTGAGAGATCAGGAAGAAGACAGTTATTGGACCTTGAGTTAGGGCTGGATGACCAGGACGAAAACATGGAATGAAATCAGTTGGACTGATTCTTATTTCTGGATGTTTGTAAATGTGAAAAAAAATGATTGTGTTGAAATCAGATTCTAATTAATCAACTTTTGATTAATCAATCATTTTTTTGTTGATGACAAACTAAAAACTATATACAGAAATATTAAGTTGAATTATTTGGAAAAAAATGGAAAAAAAATTATAGAATATTACAAGAGAATTATTGGAAAAAAATATAATATAAATACAACAATATAACAAGAGAACTGTGACAAAGAAAAGAAAAATTAAACAATTAATGAAAACATCAGAGGAGATGTTGTCCTCACCAGCATGAGTAGAGGAGGATTCAGCCGAGCCATTTTCATCTTTTTAGTCTTGGCCTTGTCCGCTGCAGGCTCAGCAGGAGCGCTCACAGGAGCTGGAAGAGACAAAGCCTCAGTGGAGTCTGGTCATGTGACGGGCTCCATGACTGGGGGTCCAGCAGAACAATAATCTTTGCCCTCTCTCAAGACTCTGTGCACAAACTTAAAAGTTGTACAGATCAAGCTCTATTTTGAGCTCTCTCAGGCATTTTGCTAATGAAGTGAAATCAAACACTTTTTCCAACTATGGGGTTATTTTAGTGCAGGTTGGCAGGTGTAGCTTTACAGCTGTGGCACAAGGGCTGTTAATAAGGAGAGCGCAGGGACAGGAGGCAGGCAGGGACCCAGCTGTCGACCTATAGGCAGGAATTATCAGCATGCAGGGTGTTGTGGTCCAGGCAGAGGACACACTACTGCTGCACATGCAAAACACAAAATGTACACACACAGCAGAGGTGATCTGAGGCTCACTGTGCACCTCTGCAGATTTACAGCGTTGCTTACTCATGGTTAACAAGTAAAAGGTGGAGGAGTGGCTGATACATAGAAACATGGTTATTCTACCAGCGTATGAGACAATTTAAGACATGATTGTTGACTGTAACAGGATGAAAACACTGAGACAATGTAGCTGTTTATTAAGTAAAAATCAAATAGCATCTTATATACATTCATAGAAAAACAAAACAAATGTTTATAATATTACAATAACATATTTTCAGGATTAACTTCAGAACTCATCTGCAACAGGACATTGGCCTAATGCACATCTGCAAAGTAAACCTGCTGCAAATGACCTCTTAGTTAAACTCGAGGGTCACTGTATGCATTACTGAAAAAAAAAGAAAAAAATAGAGACTTACGTAAAATGAAAAATACTATGTGGTACGTTTCAGTAAAAAAGCCCTGGGAGGATGTTCCTACTTTGTTCAAAGAGCTCAGTGAATCTACTGCCATGCTTTAACCTTTAGGCCTCTTTGTTTTTAATTATTGAACTGACATCATAGAGTATTAATTACAGCTGGTGACGACACTGAAGTGTGTGTGGATGAGAAGGTGGAAATATTTCTAGCAAATATTCTGAAGGTTATTGATCATTATTGGTAAAGAAATGGAGAAGCTATTTATTCTTACTCTCACAATCTATCCCCTTGCGATTACTATTATTAATTTACTTGGTTACCTCAAGACCATGATCTATATTCAGTTTCCATTGGCACCTAGATTATTTAATAAATAAAACCATGCAATCAATAAACATGCTCTGTGGACACATTCACAGAAAAGCCAGACTGAAAGTATCCTGATGACCTTAATGTCCACTTTATAACTTAACACACAATAAATAGACACTGTGGAAATGCATAGGTTTGTGCAGAGGATGTCCACATAAATACTCAGCAGTTATCAGTCAATTTCATTTGTGTGTGTGTTGCGGTACTGTAGGCAGCAGAGGCTAAAGCCATTCACATGACAGCTCCTTTTTGGTCCCATGGAAAGTCTCTGAAGCGAAAGTGATTCAGTACTAATTGTACATTTCTAAACGTGTGGATTTATGTTAACAAAGTGGGAAAGAAACTAAATAAACATTGATTATAATCTCCACTTAACATCAAAAGTCAGTGCAGGGAAAGTGTCTACACAATACACTAAAAGTTAGCCTGGTATGTAGGTTCATCACATACTTAAGGCATAGATTGGGCATTGTAACAATCTGACATTGTTTTTGTCAGAACGGTGCTTTGTGATAGTAGCGAGTATCACCTTGTTTCATGATTCCAGGGAAACAATCTTGGTTAAGAATTTCTTTGCATTTTCATCAGTTCGAGGGAAATCAAAAAGGATGTTCCCGGGAAGTCCAGTCAAATACCTTGTGTTTATGTACTAAAACATGGTGAAGTACGTAACAAGCCACGATACAGCGAAAAAATCTGCACCAGAATAATTATGGTTGGAGTTTTCATAACGGGGCCATATATCCCTTTAATGGTCTTTTGAACAAGACCTGGAATCTAAATTTTGTCAAGCCAATGCTTTTTCCCTTGTAGACTCCTACAACATTAATACCATCATCAATTCTTGCCGCTCTACTGTCGTAGAGTTTAAGCATCACTGGAAACACCTCACACTGGCACGGGACATGCTCACATTATATTGTACACAAGATACACTTGGCACCTTCCTTCAGCAGTTAAGACACTACTCTGCCCCTGCGGTCAGGCGCCGTCCTTCCTTGAGCTTCGATCGCGTCTTTGTTCTGAGTTTCACACAACCTCGTCAGACTCCAGGTTATATTCTTCATACAGGGCATCCAGGAGGCCCAGCTGTTTCTCCATGGCAGGCAGGTACACACCCAGGTCCCTGTGCATGCCAGTGGTGAAGCCGCTCTTCAGCTCGTCGCCCACTCTTGACACTAAGGCAGCGGTGAAACTTGGATAACTCGGAGCAGCTCTCAGGGCCAACTAGGGAAGACGAAAAAAACCCATTAGGATTTAGTTTAACTCTGAACAATACTAAACATCAGCGATGAAAAAAAGAAAGCAACATGGGAGAAAACAATGGTGTGAGTCAGAAAAACCTACAGCAAACACCCCTCGCACAACCCAACCATGGTACTGTCGAAGGGTCTTTCCATATGCGTTATCTGAGTGAAAGAAGAGCAGGACAATGAGGACACTCAACAGTCAACATGCATAAGATTTCATGTGTTTGTGTCCGTCTGGGCTCACTTAGTGCTCCCTGGATGTCTCGTTCTCCTGCATTGACCTCTGACAGGAACTCTTTAAGGAACTTCAGGCCTCGTCTGAGCCACAGCAGAGCCTCCGTGGCCGAGTTCCGCACCTGGCAAACATCTGTCTGGACTTCATGCAGCACGATGGACTGCAGTGTGGGGAAGCTGTCAGGGTCCGACATCAACTTCTGGTTTATTTTCTACAGGGCGACGAGACCGGGTTATACAGTGACACAAAGCGAATGCCATGTTTGTCACGATTCTTATCCTGATTTTGATCATTTAAATTATACGTTTAAGAAATATTATTTATTCCATGCATATTGACAGAGCAAGAGTCACGGGATTAAAAGGCAATGGGTCGGATCTGAAAGATATACCGGGGGGGGGGGTCAGTTTTGGACAAAACAAATTTCATCCTGTTAAAAAACTTACAGGTGTCTGATGCAGTTTGTCACATTATGTTGTGCACATCATTTAGAGAAACTTTCACAGAGTGACCTTAGAATTATTCATTGTATTGATCTATTATCAAAACTGTGCACTTACCTTGATATTTCCAACAAAATCCATTTTAACTGGTGCAAAGACTGTGGACCCCAGTTTGTCTGAGAAGAGAGAGTCTATGATCATTTCTTTGTTTAGTTTTCTGTCCTGTTTTGAAAGAATGTGTGAGTCAGAGCTTTTTCTCAGGTTATTTAAGCAACAGTAAAATAAGCAGCCAAGCCCAGTGTGAAAGGTTAAAGGGAGAATGTTTTCTTTTCCAGAGGATTTTAAGTCACAAGAATGAGAAGTTGAAGATTTGTGACACAATAGAAAACCTAAAATCCTTAGTAAATCTTAGTAAATCCATCGATAAGCTCAACATTCCATTTTGAGGTAAGCAAGGGTTATTTAAGAGACATGACCGGTATCTGGATCCATGTCAGGATTTGATGTGAGAGATAATATCGATTTAGGGCTGTTAACACACTCTGCGGGTGAAAGGGTTTCATTTTTTAATAAGGTCACATCAGTTTAAATTGAATTTTTCAGTCGTTAACAGAGGTTCACAATGTTTTTAAAGTTTTATAGATGACCTTTATGGTTAAGAAGACACCTTGTTCTGACCATTCGAACTTTTGTTAAAGTACTTCACATCAGCTCACTCTCTGGTGTTGGTTAATATGAAGCAGGCCAAAATTACCCGAGCCATCTTACGAAAAGTAATGTTGTTGGAATTTATCTGTAAAAACCCCATTAAACCAGATAATTCTTGATGATCTCAACCATCCTGCTCCGAACTCTCTAAAAGGTGATAATGGAAACAAGCAGGAGAGTCTTGTGTGTTTACATCATTATTTTTCCTGACAGTCAATATTAATATTGCCAAAATGTGAAACACAAGCATTTTTGTCAAGTCCTGCCCTTCTTTCTTTATTTTGTATTGCGAATGCTGGTTACCACATTTCCCTACAAAGACACAGAGCCAACAACAACTCATATGAGCTTATGAACATTGTAAACCTTGTCATGCAATACATTGTCAAATTATTTTAAAAAAAATAAAAACCACTGACAAACATTCAGGTGCAGAAGAAATAAAGAGGGCATGAGAGAAGGAAAAATAAAGTCGCCACCTCATTGATGTGAATGACATGCACAGACAGGAAAAATAGGAGACGGGTTTTCTTACTGAGGGCAAAATAACCACAGATGTAAAGAAGCATAATGAGAAAGAGGAAGCGCAGCAAATTGAGATGGAGGAGAGACTGAAAGTGACTGGCCTACCTAATACAGGCACTATTGCATAGCATGAGTCCAAAAACTCTTGTGTAGGGATACCATTGTCGTCGTCCAGTCTTATATCACTAAATCTAAAAAAAGTAGAACAGATTCAAACAGGAGAATATGTTAGAGGTAAATAAGCCATTTCAATTTTTATTTGATCAAGTCAAACAGAAAGAGAAAAGGGTACAAACGTCAAAACCAAGCCAGAGAAATGATTCACACATTGTCATGCAATCCTATGCCTGACAATACCTGAGACTACTCTGCTACCTTGTCTACAACTTCACAGAGTTGTTCTTTTCTGTTGCTATCATCTAAAACTGTCTCGTTAACTTTAAAATACCAACTTCAAAGTGCTTATACTGTAGTTAGTAGTTGAATACTGGATGAATGAGACAATGACGTCCATCATTATATGTGATGTTTGCCTCAAAACTTAATATGACAGAAAGGACAAATCACACTGAGCAGCTGTTCAGTAACACTCTTCCAAGTCTTAAAGAAAAAAGAAAGCCAAATATGTCTGAATTGAAATACAGCGTGAAATGTAAACAAAAGATTTTACAAACCCAAATATCAGAAGAGGGCCTCTCTGTGTCATGTGATCAAGAGAGAACACACTAATATAAAAACACTTATCGTCACATCTTGACCTTCCATTATTAATTCATTCTGTGCAACACAGTAATACAATCGATATATTTACACAAACTGTGCAGTGCCTCAATGACAAAAACTACATATAGCTTAATTGGTTTATCCTAATACTGTAAAAGTGAAATTATCACAGACAGCTATACATTAACTAATGTGTCTTAGAGGATGTGACCCTGCTGAGTAGCATGTTCATACCTGTGACTCATTGTGCTGAAGAAAGTTTCCACCTGCTCTGTGTCTTCAGGCTCTGTTGAATCTCTGGAAGGCTCATCTTCGTTCTGAGGCTCCTCTCGGCCCACGACGGCCTGGTGTTGCTGCTGCGGCTGGACGCCGTTTTCTTCCGTGTTGTTGTTGTCGTGCTCTTGACTTTGGTCCACTTTGTGATTCTGCTCCTGTTTGGTCACCTGTTGATCATCAGCTTCGTGTTCCTCATCTCCCTCCGGGGGCTCCTCGTAGTGTTCGATCTCAGAGGTATTCGGGCTAGTGTGTGCAGTAGGATCGACTTGCTCCTCGTGGACTGAGCTGTTGTTGCTTTCATCGATATCTGTGCATTGCAGCAAAAAAACATACAAATTTGTATGTTAACAGACAAAGAGGTTGAAAACTTAGACTCATATTAAGGTTACAGTCAGTTACAACAATTTAGGGTCCAGGTTTTTTGTAGTAGTGATGTGTGTTTGCGAAAGATAAAATTCTCTTCAACAGCTTTCAAGTGAGAACAGAGGTAATTGAGTCAGAGGCAACTTGAGATGTTCCTTTTATGATGTGTTAAAATTCCACTGCCCTCCTGGCTGCCCTCACTGTCATGCCACTCCTTAACACATGAAGAGTGAGAGCACACGATTTCTGTCACTAAGAAGGGAAAGAGGGAGCTGAGATGTCTTCCCCCTCATTCATTACATTGATATGGCAACATCTTTTGTTATGGTTTGTTCAAGAGAACAGCTCTTGGAAAGGAACAGAGCCATAAGATCCAGATTCCTTCAAAGAGCTAAAATTCCCATCCCTAGGGTGTTAGAAGTTGTGAAAGCAGCACTTTGGTAACTTACACAACCATGAAACAGTCATTCTCTTTAACCACTGACAGGCTACACTGACACAAACCTCACATTCATCATCTTTAATTGTGTTTTAGTGAAATTGTACGACAAACGTCAAGAGTAGCGCCACAGTAAAGTACGGAGCATACACTTTGCATCACTGACCTCTACGGGCTGAAAGGTTCAAGCATGATACCAAACATCAGACAGGGTGTGGCAACCTGCTACTGGTTTCAGCTGTGTCAACACCCTGCGGTGATTTAGCATTGCCCTTTGTGAAATGCATTATGTCACAAGTCAAAGACAGTGACGAGCTGGTGGCACCAACAGATTTTGAGCCTGAGTATAGTTTCGATGTGCAGAACTTTCACTGCCGTCTCTTGGTTTCATCTCCTGGAAGTCGGATTTTATAAAATATTGACAATCGTAGAACTGTGCTAAAACATTACAAGACAATACACTTTAAAATTCCAATGTTCCTTAAAATGTATACATGTATGTTTTTATTGTGACTTTTAAATAATGTACTTTTACTGCTAGTATATGCATTACAGACAACCCAAAAATAATACATTTGAAAACTCAGGTCTTATTTTCCATCACCCTCAGTGGCTTCCCCTGTGTAAAGGCTTTGTTACTACTCAGGGAAATGCAATAATGTACCCCGGCATCAATCAATGTCTGCTCACTAAAAGGCAATAATCTATCCTCATCAACTCTGATGAGATACACACAGCAACCAGGCTTCGTTCGTGCTGGGTAGTCCTATCTGAATGGAATGCAGTAGTGGTTGTCAGTTAAGGAACTCTTCAGCGAGTTCAGTGAGTGACTTACCTGATGAGGGAAGATGATGTTCTGGTCGACCTGGTTCATCTGGTCCCTCTGCTCCAGAGTCAAGGCTCTGGTTATCGTGTGCAATTGCTTCTCCTGAGGTTTCAGCCAAATCTCCCCATCTGGAATTAATTTGAGTGCACTTCGTTAATTTTGTCTGATATATAATAAGCAATTGTATCTAGTGTCACAGAAATGCAAGACACATTAATATCTCAACCTCATCCTGTGTATTTAATGCACATCAACAGAAAAACCACCTACTTTTCTCCAAGGCTCTGATTTAAATGGTTGACAGGTTTGATCTGTTGAGGTAAAAAAAAAAAAAAAGACACAAGGGGGTTACACACACATATCTTTTGAGAACACTACTTGACTTGTTACACTACATTGTTATTGACTGGTCACAAGGTTGGTAATAAAATGTTACCTTCTGGGGTTTGATGGCTGCTACTGGAGGAGATCCTGGGGGAGTCTGTGATGGCGCATCTGAACTAAAAGTGCGATTTGCTATCTGCATGCATTCCTCTAGAGTCTTAAGGAAAGTAGTGCATGTGGACTTTACCATGTTTCCAGTGTCTATGCCTGTCTGAAAAACAACAAAACAACATACACATTAGCCAACACTGGTGCATATTCCAACATTGCCATACATACATACCTGACAAGCAAGTATGTTGTTTGGTAATAAAAACTCAACACAATTTTATGAGATCTATAAAACAAAGGTCAAAACTGGCTTCTCTGGTAAATTAGTAAATGTAAGCACACAGCAGGCTGATGTGTTGCTAGTTGCAAATGGGACCGAAGCTACACACCAACAACTGCTTCTCTTATTTCATCAACTCATCCAAACCATCACCTTACCTCCTCTGAGTCTCCAAGCTCGTCACTGTCCTTGATCTTGTTTACTTGTTGGAGAAGAAGGTCACAGTACAATCTGAGCTCTGACATCTTAGTTTTCAATGCCTCCGAGTTCTCCTGAAGCTCTGAAACAGCAAAAGACGTTTACAATATATTTACGACCGGTAGTATGTCAGAATTGGATATTCAGAATTCCAAATACCCTTTTCTCTCTTTGTTCTGTTGTCTGTAAGGCAGGCTTTGGATGTTCCCAATGCCACCAGCCATTTCTGCCTCTCTGCTGCATTGATGGCTCTGAGGTAAAAGTACTGTTCTCCTGGTATGGTCAGGTCCACACGGGTAGAGTCAGAGGAATGGACTGTAACACAGCAGCAAACAGGGAGACATGCTTGTTGTGAGCCCTACATCCAAAGAAGTAGTGGAAGTTATTTTTTACACACACACACACACACACACACACACACACACACACACACGATAGACAGTTAAAAAATCAGTCATACTGACCTTGGATCTCACAAACTGAGATTTTGATGCTGCCCTTACATCCTTTCCATGCATCCTCCTGTGAGTCATAGTAAGACAAAGTTCCTCCATCGAGCACAAACCAACGAGGCTGCCAACCTGCAACAAAATGCATTTAACATTTCACATCAGTGCTGTTCAACAACATGTGTATAAAGTTTCTAAAACAGGAAATCCCCTCTCTACAGCAGAATTGTTTGGCTTCAAAAACTTGGAAAGGTTTAGCTCTGACGCTGTGTTAGCGGCAACTAATCAGTTAAATCAGATTATAATGACAGATGGTGGAACCTGCTAAGTGAGCTAACGCTACTTGCTAATAAACAATGCTAACTTCTCCTTCGTTTAGCAGCTAACAATCCCAGTGAGGCAAAGAAGGTAAAATAGTTCATTCATAAGCTGTTGGAGGCTGTTTGCTAACACCAGCAGCTTCCACACTCAACTCCAGTCGGCTAAGACGTTGTCATGCTAGCTAGCTGCGATGAAACCGGCGCGACAACAGAAAACACTCCGCTAACTCACCACTTATATAATTGGTCCACTTGTAAAGCATCCCCTCCATTGTTCAATCTCGTGTTCTCGCCGTTCATTACTTGTTTATCGTAAGGAGAAATGACGCACAGCTGATTGCACCGACTCCATCGGGGGCCCTGTGTGCCTTTTTTGCGGAGTGACGACCTCGGCTTTACACTGCAGCTACGTAGAGAGTACGGCGTAAACTCTTTCATGAATGCGGCTAAGAGAGAAGCTAACGTCCTTCCTCCCCGCATACGTCAGAGGGATTTAGGTGTAGGGGGCGGGGATTTGGGCGACCGACGCATTGGCAGGCCAATCAGAAGAGAGGATAAAGAAACGGGGCGGGGATTTGAAATAATGTTATCCAATCGTGGAGGAAGGAGGGTTAACAGCTGAAGTTGGCTGCCACGTATTAAACATTCCTGCCATGCTTTTATTTTGAGAACAGTATTTATTTAGTTTTTTTAAAGAAACGCAGCGACTCGCTTGCAGTTGCATTGATTAGTCAGTAAGTTGTAGTGTTTAAAAATGATTCCTCTCTCCATGTTGTCCATGTTGTCCTCACTGTGGGTGGTTGTGTCTGGAGGAAAACTGCCCGAGCCAGAGGTGAAAATAGAAGTTGTACACAAACCGTTAATGTGCTACCGCAAGACAAAGTATGGAGACATGCTCCTGGTTCACTACGAGGGATTCCTGGAGAGTAACGGCACCATGTTTCATTCCAGGTAGGGTAAGACACGATCAGACCAGGTGAGCTAAGATAAGATACAAGACAAGTTAAGTTCAGATAAGAGACGATAAGATAATCCTTATCAATATTAGAGCAGCTAGAGTCACAAATAGGCATCAGCAATAATAAGTAACATGCAATGCAATGCATGTAAGAATAACAATACATAAGTGTAAGGAAATATGAAAAATCTAAATGGAATAAAAACTAATATATACAGTGTGAAAAAGAAATTAAATGTATACAGTGTGAGAATATGTACGGTGAATGGATTGAATGTGAACCAATGTATTGCACAGACAGAATGAATACAGCACAGTAACCTCTATATCTCATATGTACTGCTATAATGCTGCATGTGTTAATGCAGGAGAAAGTCACTAGTTGTTAGAGCTGTTCAAATATAGTTTATATCTAATAGACCAAATCATGCTGCAGCCCAACATCTGTCACTATCTGTGTCATTAAGCTCTGATGACCTCAGTATTCACCTGCCTATCATTTTTTATCCAAAGCATGTGACCCATCCTTTCTAGAGATTAAGAGACAGCCCTAATTTACAAACACACATATCTTCTTCCAGTATTACACATACACAACATGGGCAAACATAGACTGCATGCATACCTCTGCCAAGGGCCAACACCACTCCCCTTATTAAAACCACATAAAAATCTTGATCAGATTTTTATTTGGATCTGAAAATTGCATAAACTGATTAAAAAAAACTCTGTCCCCTGATCTGGGTCTGACCTATACGACATCGTTCCACCATGTTTTGTGATTTTCCATCCAGCAGGTTATGTGTAATGTTGTTTACAAGCAAACTAACCAACTAACAAAGGGGTGAAAACATAACCTTGGTGGAGGTAAAAAAAAAAAGACACACAAAATTTTTACTTGTATATTGGACTGTTCGTTCTCTAATATAACTGCAAGGATGTTTTTCATTCTCGGCAGCTGGAAGGAAGGGGATAGAAATCCAGTCTGGTTCACTCTTGGGATCCAAGAAGTAATCAAGGGCTGGGATAAGGGTCTGAAGGACATGTGCGCAGGAGAGCGCAGGAAGCTGACCATCCCTCCATCTCTGGCATATGGCAAGGAAGGAAAAGGTACGGCAACATACACAATTATATTCTAAAAGCTGTGGTAGGTAAGTCCACCATATTTTTTTTAATTAATGTTTTTATTTGTTTACAGGCAAGATCCCTTCAAGCAGCACTCTTATTTTTGATATTGAGCTCATGGAGATTCGAAATGGTCCCAGGTCACACGACTCGTTTCGGGAGATGGATCTCAATGATGACTGGAAGCTCTCGAGAACTGAGGTGAGAAATTCATCTGTGCTGCTTTTATTTCTGTATTGAGATTTCAGATATATTTGTCTGCTAATAGTGAATGGCATTGTTTTTTTCAGGTGAGAGAGTACCTGAAGAAGGAATTTGAGAAACATGGATACTCGGCTAACGACACGCACCATGAAGTGATGGTAGAGGACATCTTCAAAAACGAGGATGAGGATAAAGATGGTTTCATATCTGCGAGGGAGTTCACCTACCAGCACGATGAGCTCTGATGTCATCAACCTTTTTTACACAAACAAAGTTTATGAAATTCCTCCTAAAAAAGTCACAGGACTGAGGCATTGTGAATGAAATCAGGGCTGTTTTACATGAACATTTTTAAGGCCTTGTGTTTTTACACTTTTGAACAGTATTGTCTTAAGTTTTGTTTGTCCTTGAATGCGACTTCCATAATATACAGTATTTATTTCAATTGCGCCTGCACTGATGATGTCACCTCACATTTACTTAGCTCACAGTGTTTTTTAAATTTCAGTAAATAAAAATAACTGGATAGTTGTCTGAACAATTCATCAAATGAAAAATGTATGTGTGTGCTTTCCGAGATTGGGTGATACTTTCTGTGCATGCCTCCATTAGTCACTAGTGGGCACTGTTGTTCTTTGCTTTTGTTTCATATTTACAAATCCTCCATTGGCTAAAAACAAGCAATATGCTGTGAGTGGCCCTCGTCTTAGAGCTTGTAAATGTCTCACTGTCTATGGCAGACCAAATTATCAAAATGAAAGCACAGCCACATATACTGTTAGTTTTTATGGAAAATAAATCATGACGTTGCAAGTTGGACAGTGTGCTTAAACAACTGGAAACTATCCATTCTGTTGGCAGTCATATACGTCTCATCCACTACAAGCTTCAGAGAAGTAACCTGTTGCTCAGTGGTTTATCACCAGGTTGGATAGGCTGCCCGGTCGAATACTGAAACTGCTGGTTACTTCATTCTATGACCTTAAACTAAACCAACCCAATTGACACTCTTTTATAACTGATGACAGATGAGTGAGAGATAATAAATCATTGTTTTCCAGTAATTTCCTGCTTAGATCATATTCTGATCAAGACTGATTCACCGCAGTAGCATTCTAAAGAATGAGTAACGTATTTCTGCGTAAGCGATTACCGTGTGAACACTGGTGCAACTGTCTCCTCAAGAGTGCCACTGTTGCAGGTAGAAGGTATTCTGGGTAATACACAGAGGCGGGATAAGACAATAGCTGTCACAACATTTAGAAAAAGACAAGCACATACCTGTGATTCAGTGAGCTGCCGGCTACAACCAGTCATCACGAGCACAGGGCTGGGCCTTTCTTCTGACTGAGCCTCTTCTACAGTATCACAGTAAAGTCAAACATGTTGAATTTCAGATGAAACATTAAACCAACTGACCCACTGTGGACCCACTCCGGATGCAATTATAAAGTATTTAATTATAAAGGGCTGATTCTATGGTAAACAAACAAATCATTCTGCACCAGATTTCACACACTCATGAATATCATTTCCTTCACTGTGCCTGATCTTTTTTTTACTTAAGATCCATGAATTATACTTTAGGAACTTAAAATGTTAAAAAATCTCCTTACAATAATAATAAAAGTAAAAAACTAAAATTCCTGGATCCCTCAACTTGATCTGGATCTGCACCAAAATGTTGGGGATTCTTCTCTGACCCATACTGCATACCCCCCCCATCAAGTTTGGTGGTAATCCTTCAAGTAGTTTTAGTGTAATCTGGTTTAAAAATCAAACAAGCAGATGGGGGGAACACGGGGAGGTAATGAACGGTGGATACACACACAAGTTTTCTCTTGTTTTGTATTTTTATGACATCAATTCAACAAACATCATTCTCAACAGTATATATTATTGTGACAGAACATGATGCAGAGTAAAAGACAAAAATAAACATCTTTACAAAATAAATCTTTACACTCGTTGCAAAAAAGTGCTTTATGAGCGCCCAGTTGTCTCATCTGTAGTTTTTCTTACTAGCACACACAGGTAAAATATTGATCATCTCATGATCCAATTAAATGTACAGTGAAAGGATCCACGCTGTTTGATTGAAGTTTTAAGCAACGTCCCCACAAGAATCAGATTGAGCACACACGTCACGTGGAAACGTGAGCGCGGCTGCTGCTGCTGTGAAGCTTGGTTTGCACAGCTACAGGCCGACACTGATTGACAATCTGCCCGGGGGGGATTTCACGCAGTGCTGTCAGCATGACTGAGTCTACACCAGGTAGTGACAGGGAACAGCACTGGTAGATAGTTCAAAACACTGGATCATTCCCGAGTATAAAAAGTGATGGTCTTGGCTGTGCATGGAAACCTACAGTAACAAGACGATGGCAACACTAAACCCACTTCAACTAAAACAGTCATGCGAAAAAGAAGCGTCTCGAGGTCAATCTGATAACAAACTATTCTGAAACTTCATTAGTATCAAGGTGGCTTGAATTTCCTCTATGACAGAATAAATAATCGTCCTTCGTTTCTGTTTCTGTGAGCGCCACATGCCTCGCTCCTCAGAATAAGACATCTTCATGCTCTATCATGAGCTGCACCACTAGTTTCTGTTGCCTCATGTGATTCAGGGTCATCAAGGCATTCTGCTCCGGTGGCTGCATGAGCGTTGGACCAAAGACGATCCCCAAGTTCTCAGAATTCATTAAGTTGTCCTTTTCGAACATTGTCACCCTGCAAAAATATTTTAAAAAGATTCATTAAATACTTATTTTCAATAAATCCTATGAGAAGAGCAAAAAGTCTCTCTTAATACTGTTTTAAATTGTTGGAGTCTTTCTGTGGCTTTAGCCCACATGACACGAATCTTCAAAACCAGGTTTCAAACATTTTTTTAAATAAGCAGAATAATTTCCTAATTAATTTACCCAAGGGAACAAGGAGGAGGCTAATCACCATAAAAAAAATTTTAGCCCCAAAACACAGACATTCTGGGCAAGTGTTTGGAGAATCATGCAGCGTATTCTTGGAAACCATGCAAGTGACTTTATCTGGGTCATCTACCAGAAGGAATAACATGCCAGGTACCTCCTGAAAATTTTAACTGTGGCAGCGAAAAAAAGCAATCACTGGGAAGTGGTTACAAAGTGATGCTCCAACAGTTAGTGTGCGGATTCAAGAGAGAGAGATGACGCTTGGATTGAAAGATGGACAAAATGGCTTTGTAAGAATAAGAAGGTTGGCTGGTGGCCTTCCTCCTAGTACTCACTGTTTAAAGTGTCTTTAAAAATGTCATTTACTTTCCTTTTCCTACATGCATTTCTGTTTAGAGCTGGTTAAAAATAAAGCCTTGCTGTTTAAAAAAACCCTTTGACCCTTAATTCCGTAATATGTGTGTGTGAGATGGAGGTTAATGGATGACATGGTGATTGTTGTTGCTGCTGTACTGTAGTTTCTTTTTTAATAAGATTGAAGATTGAATAAGTAGATTTTTGTACATTTTGCCACAGATTGTTACACAGTTAGTGCTCAAGTGAGTAAGTGGGACTTATACAAAATTCATATCTATAAACAGATTCTGCATGTGAGTTCACCGAATCTGGATATTCGCCGTCTACATTGTAAGGCCCCCCCCCCCTTAATTTGTCATCAGATAGCCGATGGGCTCAGAGACTGATCCAAAAGAAACTACATGTTCATAGCAATAAAGGAACATGTCAGCCAGTGCAATGCTGGGACTCATTTACGTGTTTTCAATACGGACAACAACCTATGACACAGTGGTTATTACTTGGATCAATTCATTTTCAAGATATTTACAGACACAGTGACATAAACAGAGGATTTGAGTGTGATCTCACCTCTTGAGATGAGCCATCAGGTATCGTAGGGTCTCATAGTGAGCTGGTGGGAGCTGCAGCAGACACTCGTGAATGGCCTCCAGTCTGGAGTCAGCGTTTGGAATTTCTATATCACATTAGCAAAATGATACTATCAGAGCTGAGCAGAGGAGTACCAACGCAGTAATGGCATGAAATTGCAGCGAGAGCAGCTCTTACTTGCAGCTTGAATAAATTTGGAGTACAAGTCAAATGTAATGACTGGAATGGGGAGGTCTCTTAAGTAGAGCTTCAAAGCACCAGCAATTATGTTGATGTCTGCATAGGCATCGGCGCTGATGTCCGCCTTCTCACCATCTGTTGATGAGAAATAAATCAGTCACGACTGACACGTCATTTTATATTTGGATAAAATTTAAAATAAGAGCTGAATGTGAGTTTGTTCTGTGTGTTACAGACAAAACAAACAGCTCTTTCTCATGCTGTTCTGCAGACCAAACAAGCTCCTCATTTAAAAGTATGAACCCGTGAACTGAAACCTCAGAGACCTAGATCCCAGGGCAAAGAAATGTGACATTTACAAACCTCGGTCGAAGGCGAGCCTCACGTCCTCGATGTGCTCTGAGAAGCCAGACACTCGGTACAGACCTTCAGATTTCATACCTGTGGAAGAAAAGTGGGAAGTGTGTCTCAGTTGGTTTGTTTTTATCCTTACACCCTCCCTTCCTCTTCAAAAGTCAATCTTTCTTTCTCACAAAAATATTTCATTTCTACTGCTTGAATTTTGTCCATTTGTTTGTAAGCATGATTATACGAAACTACTGAACGGATTGCCACGAAACTTGAAACTGGGAAGGTTGCGGTTTGGATCAGGGAGGAACCCATTATATTTTGGTTTGGATCCATATGCGAGGGTGGAGCCAGAAAAATCTTTTCACTTTCTTTAACATTGTGAGATAAGATGTTGTTTTGACATTTTCACTGATTTCCCCATGGATTATCTGCATTGTACCTCTCAGCTCTATCTCTTGAATACACATGTCCACCACCATGGGTCTCGTCTTGTTGTGAGCTTTGACAAGTGTGGTCAGATCACAGCTGAACACCTTCTTTATCCTGCGCAGGTCCGGCTGGCAGTCGCTTGGAACCAGTTTGGAGCACTGTTTGTGTACATTCAGGCCGCAGTCTAGCGGAGCGAGAGATAAACAGACAGAGAGAGAGTGAGATCATCCTCAGGCTGATGATAACACGATCATCACAACAGGCTAAACACAGCAGCTTGAACGTGTGTTCCAGAGTCAGCGATTAACTGCACCATCAGACTGCACAGCCACGGCTAAGCTGTCATGGTGCACTGCGCCAAAGGTAGATATCAGCAAACATGGCAGCATGGGCGTGGGTTCTATGTGTAGTTCTAGTCACATGGAGCGAGCCGGAAGACTGTCAGGAGCAAAGTGTGTGTGAGTGTGTGTGGTTGTCTGGCAGCACACACAGCCTGCAATGCAGAATTTTAGGGAGCGACACATGTAGACACGGTAAGACCGAAAACTGTTGCTCCCCTCGCTCTCACCCAGCGCTTGCAGACGGAGTGTGGCAGAAGATGGAGCGAGGGAGTGAGCGAGGACAAAGAAGTCTTTCCTGTTTTGCCATAGCACATGAGGTGTCTGATGATAGCAGTGTTTGCCTCTGGCTTGTCAGCATGGCAAATGTCTCAACAACAAACACTCTGTTAGGGAGAAAGCAACAAAGTCCAACCAAGTGCACATCGACTTCAGGACTGTGTTAGTGCAACAGAGGAATCTTGTGACCACGTTCTGCTGCTATATTTCTGAAAATATTAAGGCACATATGACCTGCGTTTGACCTGCGTATGTTGGACATTTAAAGTTATTATTATGAAACTGAACTTTGATGTAAATGCTGTCAGCAGACGGCATCTCGATGCCATTTACTATGGTACGACTATGATTAAACACTGGAGGGAAACAAGAAGTGAAAACAAGGGTGATAGCAGTTGTCCCTCTGTATTGATGAGTCGCTGACATCAGGATCTCAATCTCGTTTGTCGCAAAAAGGGAGAAAAGGAAAATACACACAACAGGGAAATAAGTGAACCACCATTTCAAATGGAAGAAAATATTTTCAGAGGGATAACTCAACATGCGTGACAGGACAGTGTTAGCCACGGATCATACACCACTTATGTAATCCATGACTTCAGTGACTTTCTTAGCGGGATCTGTGTCATGGAGTTTCGATGGTGGAACGGGAGAGTTACCTGAGCAGCGGACACCCTGGGCGATGAGGCCCCACATGAAGTTGGCACAGTACTCGCACCAGTGCGGCCCTCGAAATGTATGCACCTGGAGAAGGAGACAACACTGTTATGGGTGATACACACACAAACGTACGCCATGTATTGCAAGTCACTGCTGTGTCCGGTCCTGAACTGGAAGAACCCCCCCTTCTGATGTACTGGAGAGAGATTACGTCGTGATCTCATGCTGCAGTGGATGGGACCCCTGGCCAAATGAGAGCATTTGTATATACAAGGCAGATTAAAGGATTTACTATAATGTGTCTGGCATCTGCTTCTGGGCGATCGAATACATACAAGCAAGCCTGCGAGTCAAAATAACAGATGCCCAGTGTGATCCCTAAAAACACAGATAAGATGGCAAATGGGGCCACACCTGCACACACACACACACACCTTCACTGGTACTTTGAATAAGTAGTAGTGGAGTGATGAGTGAAGAGGGCATGTGGCAGGTGGTGAGTGGAGGGTTTTTGTTCTTTTTTCAAAGGGGAGGCATGAAAAAGCTGGGGGTCATTATAGCCTCTGCCTGTTAACTGAAACCTAAGATACAATTGCAAGAATGTTAAGGCGCCCACAGGCAAAGAATCCCTAAATTCTCTTGTGTATATTTAAAGCACCATAGCGCTCTCATTGTGTGAGCCATTATGTGCTATGCACTTAACCATTTTTTACAAAATCAGCAGGCTAAAACAAAAAGCTTTAAAATCGATGCTAATCAATGTTCTCCGCTGTTAATGGGTTGTTCCCCTCGGTGCATATGGGTGTCAGCTGCATGTGTTCTCATCACAGCAAACTGTGGTCAATAATGGGACACACAAACAACAATCAAAACCTCTAATGCATCTGTCTAAAGGGTTTTTTAACCCAGAGATAATAGAAACCTGCTGAAAATGTATTTAAATAAATTCATAAAAAGCTGCTCACCTTGAAGTTGTGGATCTTCTCGTAGGAGCACTGCTTCTCCTGTGTGTCTTTCAAGGCGCTCCGTCGCACCAGAGGTGAGGAGATCTGTGGACAGGAGGCCAACAGTTTAATAGGCTTCCACAGAAAAGTTCCCTTGCTCCCCAGTTTGACTCCCAGAGCCAAAGCCAGCAGCTCCTGGCGTTTTCTCTCCTGTTGTTTAGCCTTGTGGGTGATCAGATCCCCCGCTAAACCTCCTCTGTTTTTTTCAGCCTCCATGCTGGACTGGTCTGGGTCCCACAGACTCTCGAGCTCCTCTGGGGAAAGATGCAGAGAGGATGCGTGGGTGCTGTGCAGCAGACGCTGCCGGCAACAGCCCAGCGCAGAGGCAGCGGCTACACTCCACTCCCCTCTGACCCGGGAGGGCGACTGATGACAGCCAGCACAAGGTTGACTCTGCATCTAGTGAGAATCCTAGAGGCAGTGGAGAACGAGAAGAGCAGGGGGAACAGGATCGGTAGTGGGCGGCCAGAGGGCAGGAGTGTGCCTGGAACAATGGCCCTCTTTCAATCCCAGAGAGGCAAGAGAGAGAGAACAGGGTCCCTGATGAGGAGGGGCCTGGAGGTTGAGAGTGAGGGCGGTCGGGTGCTGTCAGGACCACTTCACACAGCTCAGCAGCTCTGTAAAGCAGGATCAATAGTGCAGACGCCCTCTTTATAGTGAAGAGCACACTCCCATTAGCACGCTGCCTTCTGGACAAACTCCACTTCTCTTAACTGGAGATAATGCTCCACTCCCAGCAGTCAGCACCGAGTCTTCTAACCAGTTCACTCTGCTGCTCTAAGATGTAAGAGTCTGACAGAGCCGAGGCTGTGTCTTCCTAATTAAAACAGAGCCCGACCTCCAGTCAGCTGGTGGAATTCCCAGCACTGCCACGCAGGCTGGCTCTTCCAGACACTCCGGCTGCAGACTCCTCACGCCAATCACAGCCATTCGTCTCAGAGGACCAGCACAGCCAGACCATCAACTGGGATTGGGAGGGATTAATGCCACAATCCCCACACAGGGAGTAATCCTGCAGTGCCCCAATCCAAATAAAATCCCATTGGAAGCTCATTTGCAGGTCTGCAGCCATAGAGTATTTTGCCAGCGGGGGGCTGTTGCTATGTTCATGCTGAATTTGTCTGTATTAGCTCACATTGTAAACAACCAGTAAACTGCACCATAAGGTTTGATTCTCTTTTAATTAACCGCAAAGCTGTGAAACAAACCCCAGATTACACATCATACAACTAGTTGACTAACAAAAATCTGTGAGGTTGTCTCACAGCGGTTTTACAGAAGAGCCAAACTTGAGACAAATAGACTGATGGAAAAAATCACAAAAATATAAAGTTGAACAGATTTATTTAACATGCAGGAAAGGTCAGGAAGCCAGTGAGTGCTGGATTTGTGATGATAAAGAGCTGAAGCGGAGTGGTGAGGCGCAGAGCGAAAGACCCCGAGGGCAGCAACAAAGCTGAGATGAAATAAAAGGATTGGCAGCTTACTGACACAGAAGCAAAGTAAAATACTGCCATGAGCATTTTGTGTATACCAGCCCTTTCTATTTGTCTCTGATGTCTGAGGGAAGCAGTAAAAACGGCTGATGGCTGAGAGTGACAGGACAGGTGAAGATATTTGTCATTGTGGTTAACATTCTTTGAAAAGACCTACACATACCATACCATACAATTCTGCTCTACGACTACGTCTGAGGGGACAGATGAGGAATAGACCACTCTGAGATATTTTAGACATGCGAGGTATAGGAGGGAGGGAGACGATTTGGCTACGCGCTTTGTCTGTGGGCAGATGGCTTCTTGTCTCTTAAAGAAGAGAGTGGAAGAAAGGACACAAAAGGTGGTCACACAACAAGCCCTGCTTTCCTTTCAGTGGCTTCAACTCTTTTATTCCCCCCCAAGGCTTTGTGAGCGCACAGCTGAGCGGACTTCGTTGTGAACGAGTGCTTGGAATCATGGGAAAACAGCACAGTGGGCACTGACACAGTAGGACAGCAGGGTACAACCGTACCACATCCCAAACAATCAGCCCTAACAGCATCTCGAACAAATGGAAAAATAGACAAACAGTGACGGCTACGGCAGTCGAAGATATCCATTACTCAAAAAAAACTGAGGAAATTGCCACTTTAGTGTGCAAAAGGAATTCTGAAAATAAATAACCACCAATTTAAATGTCAGGAAAAGTGCTTACAATGCTGTGTGATGAGCACTTTCATATTTTATATCTAAGGAACTTAAAAAGCAGTTTTGTGCTTTTTTATAGCCTGAAACTCTGCAGAGACAAGAGGTAATTATCTTAACAAACAGCAGGACAAACCTTCTTTAGAAACCTTTTCAGGGGCATGTGAGGAAACCTGTCTGTCGACAGCCCCACTTTCAGATTAAACCAGAGTGGTGAGCGTCAGGAGGAATTTGGCAGAGGGTTTTTTGGCCAGCGAGCAAATTCCAGGACATACAAGGAAAAAAGGAAACTCATGTTGATCTACAGGTCGCGTCAAGTCCTCCCTCTCACCTTATGGGAGTATTTTAATTACACAAGAATTTGCAGTCATGGCAATGTGGAGGTATCAACCCAACACCGAGTAAATAAGTGTGAATGCTCACGATACAGTGAAGCCACTGTGGTTGTGATGGCTGCGGGCGCGGCTGTGTAATTGGAAAACATGAAGTTCAAACAGCAGCCGCAGATTCGAGCCATCAAGGTCAGGTCTCTGCTTCTTCTCTTCACGTGGACAGAAAAACCTGAAAAATCCTCTCACTCTTTCCAACAGTGGCTGGCAGGTGGTTTTCAGACGCTGACTTGGGGGGTCCGCCATCATCACATCCATGATCCTCATGTGTAATAATTTGGCTGGAGGAATATGAGGACAGTTTTCAAAAAGGCCCCAGATAAGTCGCAATCTGACATTTGGAGAAACACAGATTTACTTGCCAAACAGAGAAGTCTGCAGTCCTAATTTCTATTTTTTTTCAGGATGGATTAAATGTGATAGAAGGATGCAGTGTTGGTCAGGGGAAAAACTCATTTTGCTGTGGATGTGGATCCAGGATTTTTTTGTCACATTCTTTAATATTGCGAGACAAGGCGTTTTTCCAACTTTTGCATTAATTACTCACAAAATTATCTGTGAATCTTCATGATTAAAAAAAAGATCACATTTGGTTGGGGTGGGTATCGATGAGTATGTGCAACTTTTTGCCAAATAAAACATAGCAACACTACTTGATACTGTTTAATAAAGTGCTGTGTGTTAAGCAAACCTAGGTTAAGTCTGTGTGTAGTCTAAGGGAAGCTCTCTGCTCTAGAGGCTTCCTCGTGGTCAGCAGCAGCAGCATCTGTAGCAATGAGCTTATTTAAAACCACAAAGAGTCGATGGACGACTGTCAGACGAACGACCATCAGGTCAAAAGTTCTGTATTAACGGCTCATGTCTCGAGTTCTAGGGGCCAAACTGAAGACTGATGATATTAATACTGCAACTGATGCTGCTGCTGCTGACAGCTCTGTCATGTGTCTGTCACTGGCCGACTGTCAAACTGACAAAATATAGGGTGACATTTTGAAGACAAAGAATTCCTGAAGTGATAAATCCCGTCTTCAAGCCGAGAGACGCGTTGAAGACACAGTTCAGGAAGCAGAAAAGACCAAGAAAATATTAGTGTGAGTCAGTAAAAAGAGCTCAGCATTTAGTGCCATCATAAGGAGGAGACAAGTTAAGTTTGCCACCTAGTGGAGGGATACTTAAAGTTTCTCTCCCTTGTTCCTTGTGACATTTCCATGTTCTTCGTCGATAAATCATTCACAGGCTCTAATCCAACAACAGCTCAGGAGTGGGAATGAATACAATGTGCAGCGTGTCTCACCTAAGACCAGTGTGTCTGATATGCATGGCAGGCAGAACAAAGTCCCAGTCCCCTCGGTCATCATTACCTTTCAGAGGAGGCAATGAAGCATGGCAGCAGTGAACACACCCAGAGGCAACAGCGATAATGTACGTCTCACTCTCAGGACAAAGTGTCCTCTCAGAAACGCTCTCGTCCCACTGGAAGTGGATTGGAAATGATCAATAGCAAGGCAGTAGATCAAATCCTAGTATTAGTGTCTGTCGAGAGGCCTGCAAGATAATGAGCATTTGCTAAGATAATGAGAAACCTTAAGACATAAACCTACATTTTGCTTCTATTATTCCCTACAATATCTTCATAAATGATTACATTTGACTTTACTTGTATAAATTTAACGACAACAGAACAGATTTTTCTGATTTATTGTTTCAGCTGAAACAGAAAGCAGGTCTGTGATGCATTGTCTTGCTCCACTTCAGCAGTAGAACGTTGCAAGTCTTCCAGCAAACGTTTTACGTGCACACAGAAACAGTGTGAGTGTGAGAAGAGCTGAAGCTGAAACGCGGGACTCTAGGCTCAAGCAGCATGTAGAGTGAGCATGGGGTTTTTTGAATGAGAGCAAAATGTAAATGTGAAATCGATAAGTCCTGCTCTCAAACTGAAAGACCACACTCTTGAAAAAAGTTGGAAAAAAGATCCCTTATCCTTTTTCATTATCTTAGTGCAAAAAAAACTCAAAGTAAATACGTCATAAAGCTCACCCTCTCATCTTTCTGGAAGGTGACCCTGCGTGGCTCCGTGCGCCCTCGGCTCAGCCTGTGCACCATCTTGTCCTTAAGTAGTGAGGTGTAACCAAGGTGCTCGTAGATGGGGTTGGTGGTCATTTTGGCGATGTACTCCGCTGCCTTGGTCTCGATGTAGAGGGTGATGAGGGCGTCGGTCACCAAGTCGTGGACCGACTCAAACCTCTTCTCCCCCACAAAGTGCTTCCCATCGTAGAAGAGTCGGTAGTTGAGGGTTTGGTGCCCGAACCTGCAGGATTGAGATACATGGGTGGTGACGCGATTAAATGCAGAGGGAGTGGAGAGGATTCGAGGTGAGAGTGGCTGAGTGAAAGCGAACAAGGTGGAGAAGGAGCGAGCTCCGGGCTGCTGATGGGGGCGACCTTTAAGGAAGTCTGTGCTGCATACTGATGCGTCCGTACCTCAAGGCCAAGGTGTGCGTCCCCGGCTGTCTCTGGCTCTCCCTGATGAGGTAAGCACCCTCGACTCCCCCCAGCAGCTCATCTGCATACTCCCGAGGGATCATGCCATGAAATCTGTTCAAAAAAAAAATTCACAGAGGGTATAACTCTTCAAAATTACATTGTGGATGTTAAGCTCAGGCTCTAATTCAGAGTATCTTAACAAAGCAGAAATATAAATCACACATCTACCCACTTAAGCCTTACCCATATCTGATGCTAGGCAATAATGCTGAAAGAAATCCACCACTGCACAGCCATACTTGAACGATAAATGATGATGGTGATTAAGTTACTACTCACTCTCTGCCATAGTACTTGGGTCTGCTCTCCATCTGCAAACCAGAAGAAGAAATATTGGCTGGAACCTCCACGATATGAAAGCTCAATTAAACAGCTTCGCCAAACTGTTATTACAGCCTGTCTTTTGAAAGATAGAGAAGTCGACACCACAGGACAGATTATCTGCAGCTATGCCCCCACATCTATTCACAGCTACCAAACCATGAAGCCAAATCAAAGAGCGCACAGATGAATAAGAGGCGATGTGAGAGAAAAATTTAAATCAGTGATGGATGGCCAGCTGCAAACAATTCATTTTTAGTGTGTTACTGTGTCACACCAGGGCGCGTGCAGCGTGTCTGCGTTGCAAATCTTTCACAGCATATGGCGAACAAACATTTCTCATTTCCAACATGACGTAAAACAAACTTCAGACGGCATTAAGATTCTGACATGAGAATAATGGATCATAAAAAATGCAATCATCTATACTCCCTCTATGTTGTACACAAAGACAGTGTGTGAAACTGCTGCAGAGGTCCCGTGTAAAATCTCAGACAAGTCACAGTTATGATCATCGTGGTTTTTATGGGGAACACTTTGGTAATATGTCGAACATCATTTTGTACTTTGAATTAATGAGAAGCTAATCTCACACAGCCAGCCCACCACTTTCACTCCGCTCATCAAAGCGTGGCAGGACTGGAAATGGGATGAGACATGCATCACTTCTGGTCGACTATACAATAGAAGAGCGACAGCGAGGGCACCAACAAGTAGAGTAACTTGTTCCAATTGCTTTATATTCCCAGAGCCGAGGGAACAAAGTCTGTGCTGCCTGTCCACGGTGTCCCCACTGCTGCTAGACTGTTTCTGTTCTTACTTTTTTCAACGCTGTCTTGAAACTGCAGTCAGGTGAACACAGAAACAGGATTTTGCTTAATAGGACCGGAAGATATGGCCCAAAAAAATACCAGGATAAAAATGCTCAGGCTAAATGTCACATATTTATTTCCAGTGATGGGATATAAGGAGGTACATTTACTTCATCTCTGTACTCATACTTTACTATATATATATTATATATATATTATTTTTCTGAACAGATCGCATTTTACTTAACTATACATATCAGCATATTTCCGTACTCTCTACCCCACTTTTTACAAAGTAATACACAATTTAAATAAAAAAATATTTAAGGGTTACTAGTTCACTGATCCAATCAGAGCAGGCAGGTAAGATTAGACCACACCTCCTGCAGAAACAACAGCATCACTGGTGAAGAAACACCTAAACTGGATTTAGAAGAGACTCAGCCATAATGATGTAGTAGACGGATGTATTAAGGAAGAGGCTACACTCTGCAAGTACTTGTACTCATTGCACTACTTGAAGTTTATTTAAAAGCAAGTACTCACTTATTTTACTCAAGTAACAGTTAATGTGGTACTTTTACTTTTACTCAAGTGCAATATTTGTGCTTTTATTTAAGTAAAAGGTTTGAGAGCTTCCTCTAACACTGAATATTTCTTTTAAGTTTAATAACGGTTGTGGTTTTAAACGTATTCATAGGCACAGAATGATAAACACTTAATAAGCATTATATTAATATACATTTTATTTTTGTTGTATTGCTACTGATGAAAAAATACCAGATTTTTTTAGATAAAACATGGTGAATGCCCTGAAAATGTTATTCACCACAACGTCTCCCTAAATAAATGAAGCAGTCTAAACCATGCTGCTATGCCTTGATTTTCTAACACTAGCATCCGACTGTATTTAAACAATTGTTCATGAAGTGTGGGAGGTCGGAGCGGCAGCCGGTCACTCCCCAAAGGTTCCTGACCGGTCTGGCTTCCAGCTGCCAGGCTCAATCATTTCCTGGTGAATGTTTTCCAGGCTCAAACCTGAGAGTCAGAACTGCAAGCTGTAGTCTGGCTGTAGTCTGGTCGACTGCGTTTTTAAAGGCAAAGGGTGAGAAACCTTTGTCGTTGAAAGTAAATAAATGAGTATAGCAGGTGGTTCAGTTTGTAAAAGTGCCTGCTGGTTGGAATAATCGTAAAACCTTCACAGACTGGTGCTTTCTCATGACCAGCTTGAATCTTCATTGTTACATGACTTCTTGTGTGTTTGTGTAATTATTTCAAATCATTTACAGTCACTAGTTGACAAAACTGATCGATGACTGAATTAATTGAAATGTTATTTCACTGCAGAAGTAGAAGATGGGACAAATGCGCCTACTAAATATGAAACGAATCATTTCATCCTCAAACAGTGGTCTATTGTGTAAAGATTTATAAATGCACTGACCTCCTGAGGACATGTGATCCTCTTTGGTCTCGGCGCTTCCTGCTGGAGCTGGTACACTGGTAGAGAAATATACACATGTGTTATTTAAGGCTTTCCTCCCCTCTGAGGTACAGACGCAGTTCAGTGTAAGTTGTAATTATACACATAACAGCCTCAACACACACTTACAGATGAAGGAGACTCAATGCTGCAGTGTACAGAACTATACTGGACACTTAAGCTTTAATCCAGCTCCTGACTGCAGCTTTTTAGGTAGCATGGAACAAATGGAGCGATTGGCTTGGATATGCAAGACTCAGCAGTCAGTGGTTTACATGACAGGAGCCGTGCAGTACATCTGTAATCCTTCTGTGTGAATGAAGATGTCCATTTAATGCTGTAACAAAAGTACTTGCACTTACAAATACATACATGCTGTGTTTCTGTGTCTTGACTCTACTTAAAGTAATGAAATTGAAGTAAATCAGTGCAACAAAGCGAACATGGAACTGAGGGATCTGCGGCAGGCGGTCCGATCCCCACAAACACCTCAGCATCCTCACAGAATTTGTTTGTTACAATAAGTGATTAAAAAGCGAGCGAGGCCAAAAACACGACTGCTGTTTCTGCTGTTTCCCCGAAAAACAGGACGTCTGTCAGAAATACAGAAACACGACCACAACAGAGGCCGACCAGTGTGGTTTCTTTCTTCGAGGCCAATTTTTCATCCTTTGTGTGTTCAGAGATGGAGTTTCTCTTACTGTCACATTTCCAAACCAGACTCTGTGTAAATATCCAGCGATTATAACAGTTTTAACTGGTTTATAGCATAATACACTTCCTGCTCGATGAATGTTGATCTGTTGCCTTGTTTCCTCCTCACCAGCAACATCACTGTGTGAGGTTGAGCTGTATGTTTTCGATTCAGGTTCTGCAAGCAGGAGGGAGGAAGATCCTGACTGTGTAAAATGTCCCGAATGCTGACATTCTCACGTTTTGTCAGGCTGACTCGAGCTGAGCAGAGCGAGACCTGGACATCATCCATTCCTGTGGATACACAGTCAGCTCTAAAAATACCTCAGCAGAGAAGTCAGGAGAAGATGGGCCATGAGAAATGTAACTGCAGAAAAAGTGCGTGGAAAAAATATAAAAGCTATGAAGTGAGACCGGTTTAAACAAAACGTTATCACTCTGAGGACAGAAGCAGCTTTTTGTGCTTCACCAAAATCCATCACATATATTGTGAAGAGTCTCCCTGCTTCCTCCCACATGGCAATAACACAGTATAATGAGGTGGGTGTTGTGAAGACCCCATTTCAGCTGAGCCTCTTTGCAGGCAGAAAATCTTGTTTTCCTGCATGATGGTAACCTATTTTACTCAGAGAGCAGGGATGTGCTGCTTTACCTTTGTGCATTTTGTGAATGTGATGTGTGGAGGCGGATGTGTCTGAGCATTTGCCTTTTGTGCATATGCGTGTTGCTGTTTGGATTCTGCAGTGTGTCTAATTGCACCATGCACTCTTTTTTATTTATAGACCATAAACAAATATGCTGTTATTAAACGAAACTACACTGCAGGGCAACGCCAGGTTAAAGCATTCATAATCAGCAGATAAAACAAATTAATTACTCACAGTAGGACTTCCATATGGGCGGCTGATAATCCTCAGGGTCTGTAAAACACAAAGATAAAGCAGATTTGTGTTATGAACTCACAGTGGTGTTAAATAGACTGTGCCCTGCTTTCTCTCATTATAATCTCAATTTCTATCTCTGTTCCCACTGGACTGACTGTGAGCCCCTCACCGTGCTTGTGTCACTGTTGTTCATCTCGGTAATAAATATGCATGTGTCTTCTCTTCACACTGTTCTGCTGCCACTTAAGTCGCACCACTGAATACATTTCTAATCAGCGTCTCTGCTTCAGTCAATGCAGGTGTCCACTTGTTTCGCTAAGCGTTGTGTCGGCGTACACCTGATCTATATCACCTGCCGGCAGCGGGATCCCGAAAAACACAACATCCTCATCCTGGGATAAGAATACAAATTCACCAATTACAATTAAGGGAAGTAAACACAATTTACATCCCGGCACTAACAGCAAGACGCTTCCTCTGGGAAATATAGCGGCTGATTTATGATTATGTGAACACATTCCTGGAATACATGATGGAGCATGCTACTACAGTATATTAGCTTAAAAAGAGAAGGAGAGGTGATAAGGTAAATGTTCTGTGGCTGCAGCATAATTTACTCCAGCACTTCCTCAGTGGAGTAATGACTTGTAATAAAACCTGTCACTAAATGAGTCAAAAATATGGCAAAATGTGCTGCTGCGCTACACTGCCAGTGATGTCATAAAACATCAGGTCCTTATTATGACACAAAGGGTGAAACGTGTTTTTACTCATAATATAATAATGAAAAGTTTTTTAACACAAGGAACCAACTTATTTGCTCTTTCCATAGACTGGATATAAAGATGGACAATGTGTTTGCTCTCGTTTGTCTCAATTGCCCCCTGGAGGCTTGCTGCAGAATGGGTCATAAACCCTCCACCATGTTAGTGAATGGGACATGGACTAAACTAAACTAAAAAGTACACATCAAGTAAAAAAAATTCTCAATGCAATTTTTTCCAGTAAGTTTAGTTTTACTTATTTTGATGTATATTTGATGCTAAAAAAACCGACTGACTCATGATCGGCACCATGGCTCTCTTCTGCACAGACTCATGTACTGACGAAGGCCATGAGATGCACTTAAAAGCTTTGGAGAGGACAAATAAATTGGACCATGTTTTTTTGACGCTGCAATTTCCAAGGTCAGGAATGAAGCTTAGTAGATAATGAGTTTAACAAACTTGTTTTACGCAGTGAAAATAATTTGGTGGTATTAACTGTATTCAGCAATTTCATAGCAGGCCTTGGCCCATTTACAGACAGATTTATGTATTTAAAGGTTACTGCATGTGATGCACGCTCAGCATGATAATGGTGGTGTACAGATACAACAGGCCGATGATGCCTCGGGCCAAAAGCACAAAATAGTTTAAACAATAATCTTCCTTTCAGAACTTCAACGTGATTATCTATCTTTAATCAAACTCCCTCCACCGCTGCTGAAAGATCCAGCTGACTGAGAATGATGAATCATGTTGATCCAGAAGATACATGTTGAAAATTTTAAACATTCCTTTCCTCAGCGGCACATTGGAACCACACCCCTCTCGCCATAAAACACACCTGAGCACGGAGAGGGAATCATTTAATGAGAACTAGTGAGTACTTGTTGGATGTGTTGGATGTGACGTACATGCTGAGACAACTGTGAAAGTAGCTCAGAGAAAGTATTAAACCTGTTTCACTAAAATAACTCTGTATATTCTTGTTCTATTCTATTTGTTTATGTAATGTCACTTCAAGTGCAGGCAGAGTATTTGCTTCATGCTGTTTTCTCAGCTCACTACAGAGTTTGAGTGGAGGCTGTTTGAAACATTATTAAAACTAGGTCACGGCCAATGTGGAGTTTGAGGAGGGCTATACTGATTTGAATGGCACTCAGCAGAAATCATTCCCCCTCCAAAGCCCAACAATCTCTTCCAAGCTTCACCATATTGCACAAACACATAGAAATCAGTCGCTATGGTACCTGATTTTTTTTCATAATGATTAATGAAAGGGAATAAGAAAATAAAAGCAAAATCCTGGAGTTTCAAGGTTCATATCGAACAGTTTACACTGTCCTAACAATAAAAATCGGTCTGGTCCTAATTAAAACATAAGACAAGATAGGTGCATATATGATCAAAAGCTGAATAATTAAGCAAATGGTGAAAAAGGCAGCCTTACAGAGACATGGATTTTTTAAAGGGTAAATATTTTCTCTGCAGCCCTCTACAGAATGTCTACCTTCCAACTCAACTTTATATCCCGCCAGCTCTGTTTGCTGATGTGTGGCCAAGCTGCCCTGGAAAATGTATTGTCCTAATGCTGAGGCTTTGTCACTGTGTGTTGCAGTGGCAACAGTCTGAGAGATTTATTGCACTGCAGCTTGTTTAAAGAAAGTGATTTCATCTGGTTGGCTGCCAAATATTCTCTTTTCAATCTGATTCTTTTTAATGATGAATGGTATTTCGGTCTGGAACTCTGCAGCGGCTTATAACGGCACACGCTAGCACAAAGACACACACACACACACACACACACACTGAGCTACACTGTGTACACCCGCACTCTACCAAACACACATATACACATGTAGAAATCCAAGGAACATCAAAAAGAATTTCTAAGTAGCTCAGAGTTTGTGTGGAGCCTGATGATCAGGGGGAATTGAAAATTCTGGAGCAGCCAGAAGGCTCTTCTCTCCCCCCTGGAAGAAAGTGCTATTAATTGTGTTGCCCTCCATTACTCACCAGTCAGAGACATTCAATAAAATAATTACCGGCGGCTGTTTGCTTTGGTGACAAAGAGAATATGAGATGAATGAAAATGAAGACTTTTATCCCCTGAGATAGTGTCTGCATCCAGAGTCTGTGCACAGGCAAAACAAATTATTCAACTCCAGCATGTAACGAGTACATGGCTGACGACAGCTCAACAAGCTCAGAGCGTTTCAGGCAGAAAGGAAGAACAGGACACAGGTATTTTAAAACCGGACAGTTTTCACTGTCACCTTGTTAAACTTAAAGGTTTATGAGAGTGGAAATGTGCCAGTGTCTCCTCATGAAAGAATCAGTGGGGTCGTGTGTGCCATGTTTCCATGGTGTGTGTGCACCTGCTCATCTACGTTGGAGTCGGGGTGAATGAGTTCCTTACTCAGGCTGAGGGTGAGTGAGTTTGTGTTCTTTGTTTCTACTGATCCCTGACAGCTCTTCCAGTGACACTGATCCTGAGGGTCACTCTCATCATGACAAAGAAATAAAGATGACGATGAAGATGAAATGAATGTGACTAAATATGTTTAATGTGCTGCACCACACCCACTCATTTATATCCATTATCTATATCACCAGATAAACACATCACCAGCGTATTGCAGGGCCAACATACGGCGACAAACCATCATCACAATTTTTGTCAATTTAGTGTTTCAAAACAAACTAACCCCGTTCGGTGGTCTGTGGGAGGAACCCGGGAAAAAAACACACTTCACCTCCTGATGTTTTACCTTGTTGATAAATTTAGTTCTCTGTTCTGTTAGAACAGAATACATTTACAAGGGTGAATTCATTTTGATTTCACAGTCCTGTGAGAACCATTTTAACACAACCTCACATCATAGTGCCTGAATGGTTTAGATGAGTCAACACTGATTGTCTGTAAATGTCAGTACTAAACTGTTGCCCATTTCCAATATCTTCCCTCCTCAGCCCAACGAGACCATCTATCCAACCATCTTTTATACCCCTAATGCTTTGAGGCTCACATGGGGGCTGGAGCCGACTTCAGCATTGGGTGAGATGCAGGGTGCATCATGAACGGGTCACTAGCCCATCACAGAGCCAACATTCACACTCACACTGTGGTCAATTTGGAGTCTCCACTTAACCCAATCTGTATGACTGGACTGTGCAGAGAAAAACCCACACAGACAGACACAGGGAGAACATGCAAACTCACATGCGCAGTGAAAGGCTCCGGCCGAACCAGGATCAGAACCAGGACACCACTCATCCTGGACCAAGTAATGGGATTAAATGTCTATGCATGATTTGGCCGTAAAATGAAAATACACATTCACTTATATAATTTGCATACAGAAATAAGAGATTCTGAAGCGAGCACTGAGTGCAGAGTGACTGACACATATATCACACACAAACACACAAACATACACACAGTGGGATGCAGCAGAGCAGCAGCAGAGAGACCATCTGTGTGTTCTATTCGTCCAAAACAAGTGAGTACAACTAGTACTGACCAGATAGTATGTGACAGGTATGAGGGTGCCTCTGTGGGGTGCATTATCTGTGCTGCACTGCTGAGCTGTACACACTCAGTGAAACTGCAGGTTCTGTTGTTAACAAAAACTGGAGCTCTGACATTTCCTTGTTTCACTGAAGGAGCCTGTTGTAATTAATGGGCTGGTTTACTTCAGGGACTAAGTGGCTCCCTCTCTGCTGCTGTAAAACATGCAGATAATTTTAGTAAGCCATCGTACATGACACAAATCCCTGCCTACATGATTTACACTGGTGAGGACATGAAAGTAATGGAAAGAATTTGAGGTGAAATGCAGCATTTTGCCAGAAACATGTGCAGGATGGTGTCGAGCAGACCGCCTCTCTCTCTGTAACACACGCCTGTATATCTGCCTTCCTGGCCAATTTTGTCATTGAAGGCCTGGAGCAGAAGGCATACTTTCATGCTCTATCCCTCAATTTATTTTCAAAGCTTTATTTCCTGGAGCCGTTTAGAAAATGGTACAGTCCCATGCCCACCCGTGCCAGGAATGTGTAGGAATCTCCCTGATCTAGATGAACAGCCAGAAAATATCTTTCCAGAGAAAAGAGGAGATTGCAAAACATGATGGAAGCTGCAATCATGTTGCAATCTTCTCAATTTGTCTGTCATTTCTGCCTTAAAAATAAATTAGAGTTCTTCAAAGTGTGTGTATAATGCAGGTCACACGCTATATAAAGCAGTTTGGGAACATATAATTTTCGATAATTCACAGGGAGGACAGTGACATCACCTTTTATCACAACTCACAGAAAAGTTAGATGAACTTTTTCCCCCAAACAGCCTCAAAACCTAGAAAACTAGACAGACTTCTCATCAGAAGCAGCAGAAATAACTTCACCGTCAGCCCCGTGTTTGCAGCCAGAGCAGACGACCTAATACAGAGCAGAAATTGAGCCTTGATTCGTTTTTTGAGTCAAATGCCTCATAGACAAGATTATTCAAATGTTGCGTCTGACTGCCAAAGAGCTCGGCATGAAAATAATAATACCCTTGTGACAACCACTCCATCCCTGGCAGCAGCGCAGCTTGTAACCTCTGATAATTATATTGAGAGCCCAACAGTAATGACAGCCCTCCGATGCCACAGAGAGAAAAGACTTTCCTCTTAAAGCATCAGCGGTCAAACAGTAAAACCCGCTGCTTTCTGCAATGCACACATGAGATAATGCTTTGTGAGGCATGCGGTCACCATGGGCTATATCAGCTTGGAAACGACTGTCCGTCCCTCCCATTGGGCTGTACCCTGGGAAATGTGACTCTGCTGTGTAAGATGCAGGGAGAGAACCAAAGTCAAACAAACACTGTATATCCTATAAAACGTCCCACATCCTCAACATGCTGGGATCAATATTAATTGTCGTTTGGTCAAAAGTGGAAAAAGTATCACATTATGCATATTCTGTGGATGAAATATTCTGTGGGAGAAAGTGAAATATTGGTTGAAATGATAAACAAAAACATAAGTGCTGAGCTTGGTATTATAAATCACACACACACACACACACACACACACACACACACACACACACACACAATCACATAATGCATTTGCCAGCCCCTTAGCTAAACATTAACCATCACGACTAATTCTAACCCTAACCTTAAAAGCAAGTGTTAGCTCTCAAACTGCCCTGTGAGGACCAGTCTAAATGTTCTCACTTTCCAAAAATGTCCTCAGGTCTACGCTCAAAATGGTCCTCACAAATACACAAGTACAAGTACACGCTGTATCTCACACACACGTGCCTCTGGTTGCTGGTGGGGCTTCAGACAGAACTGTGATAGCGGAGTTTGTACTTTAAACCCTGGCAAACATGAGCCGAGCTTTCCACTAACAAAGGATGGGATGTACACAAACACAGGGTTGCTCTTTCAGTCTGGGCTTGTTTGAACAGCTGCTAACCTACTTTCTGTTCCCATTCTGTGGAAATACAACCTGGAAATGAAATTTTAACAGACACATTATTATCAATTAACTATACCTCATTATGTGCAAAGGGTATTAGATTGGAGTCTCATGCAAACTGTATTACATCACTGGACCATGGCACAATCTAATTTTCCCCAGTCTGTTGCTGCTGCTGCATGTTTTTTTGGGAAAGAAATGGAAGAAAACTCAGGCCAAAGATAATCCTTCAAGCCAGCCAAGTGCAAAGTCAACAAGGGAATTATGGAGATGATTGGAAATCTAATGATAACATCCAAAACCCAACGTCACACTGAGTGCATCCCACAACCTTATAATCCAACTGCACACCAAAGGCATCCTTTCCCTCCAAACGTTTCCACCACTCAGTCATAACACATGGGGATGTTTTTCATACCCATAATCCTACAGCACACAAGTCACATGGAGCTACTTTAATGTTTGTTTAATGGCACATGTGTGATGCAGATGGAGACATAAAAAGATGATCTTACCTGGTGTGCATTCTTATTATTACAGGTGAATTATTATTATTATTATTATTATTATTATCATTGTTATGTCTCAGAGTGTAGCCTGAGTCTGAGTCATGTGAACTCTCACCAGAGGACACAGATGAACCTGAGAGGCTGGAGTTGCTGGATGCTGCCATCCCTCCCGGTTTCACGGCTCGGTTACTCCCGTGTGGCCGCGGTGCGCTCGCAGCTCCTCGTCACAGGCGGTGCCTCCATGCCCCTCGCGTCCCAATGTGCCTTCACCCCCGACGGCTGGCGCACCGGGTACCAGCCTATATCATGTCTCGTCTCGCCCGGAGTCCGAATCGTCTTCAATCCGCCGATCCTTCCCCGTTCCGCTCCTCGCCCTGGCGAGGCGCTCACGCTGCCGCATGCACCGCACAGGAGCCGCGGAATAAAAATAGTCTTGACAGGCTGCGGGGATATGCTGCGTGGATCAGCGTCTCCGTTTCCCCTCACAGTGGATGTGTGGGTCTGGAGAAGTGTGCCATGCAGACACCAGCTATGGTTTCCATGTGCCACTTTAAGGGTTGTAATAAACACACTACACTGCAGCGTAGACGCGCCTTCTTAAAGTGAAAGTTTGGAGCAGGGTTGACAGACGTAAGCCAAAAAAAGAAGACACCTAAACAAACTAAATTTGGCTCAGTCAGTGAAATCCAACATGGACTGACTGTTTTTCTTGGAACACGCACTTAGATCAGATTCATGTAAATCTCCACCGGATAAACCACATTGCTGCAGCTTTGGCATATTTTTTAGATATCCTCTTATGTCGGGTGATGTGGAGGGAGACAGAATCAATCTTTGTATGTGTTGTTGCGCCATCTGCTGGGCTTCCCTGCTCCCCAGAAAAACATGGAAGTGGTGTCTGCTTTTATGGAAAGCGACTTACACCTGAGGCTCAACACAAGGCTTCAGAAAGAGTTATCAAGTTGCTTGAAGTAAGAGTTAAGTGCTAAATCTGTTCAATAAGGTGATCAGGTGAGGAGTGCATCTTTATTATGATCCTCTATGGAAGAAATGCAAGGTGTGATTGAGGAGACAGAACTGAGGAAAGACTTTGGTTTCTGTCGTCTTGAGTTCACTAGTAAGCAAAAGGTTGTCTATGGCAGAATAACTGAGCTCAGTGTCGCTGAAGAGGGGTCCTCTAATACTCCAGTTCAGATGTTCCCTGACCAGCAGATAAGACCACACTGTATAATGGTTGAGTGTGATAGTCTGAGACAGCTGTCGATCAAAGAAAAACTACCTCAGAATATACCTGTCCTCCAGCCTTATTGGCTAAAAACAGCCACAATGTGAAATGATGTATTATTGTTCTGCACTTTGTTGTTTTTGTTTTATTGTGTTATACTGATATGGACAGTAGACTTTCTGATATGTGTTATGTGTGATATGATTATATGATGCTATAAAAACAGGGTGGCATGTGTAGATTGACAGCTGAGACTAAATTGCGATTAGTTGAATGCTCTCATCATGGGTCTATCACTTTTTTCCATAGTATATCAGCAGGACATCGATACCAAAGCTACGCTCAAAAATCACTGAATGGCAAATGGTCTGTATTTGTATGGCACTTTTGTGGCCTTGATGACAACTTTACTGTAGTTTTACCATCCACAAACACATTCATACAGCACAATCACATGCAGCACTTTCTTTATCATACATCACATGCACAGAAAATTTGGGGTTCAGTCTCTTCCCAAAGGACACTTAAGCACACGGAATCGGGGAGACCGGAATCAAACCACCCACCCTCTGGTTTGGGGACGACCTGATCCTGTGCCACAACCGCCCTACTGAACAGCCTCAGGCCCCAAATGAAGTCAAAAGCGCAAGATGGCGGCAACCACATCCAAGATATTTTGGCTTCATTTTTGCACAACTTTAGAAAAAAGAGAGGTGTTCTCCATCTTAATATGCAGTTTGTGATATGCACCTACCAGTCTGAAGAGGACCCACTCCTGATCTAAATACAAAAGCATTTCAATATAAAGTGTCAGTTCGAGAATAAAGAAAACAACAATTCGTCCAATTTAGATGAAACACACGAGTGAAAAGATCTGTAAGATAATTATATTACATTACTGCCAACAGATCCTTTTCACCTACATCTTACACACTGCACCTTTAACTTGTAAACTAATCACTAAGTCACTCTTGTGTCTTCATAATATATTAAAGCAAACAGCTTTAAAAATCTACTTGAGTTTACATGAGGACGGTTTACTCACCATGTCAGACTCAAACACTGAACCGAGGCTGCAGAAGAAGAAGACAACAACAAGAACGCCTTCCTCCGCGCACACCGCGGGAGTTTCCTGTAAGACCTCGCCGAGGGTACAACCATCTCAAGCCCCCGGAAATCAACAATCACGTGATCCAGTGAGTCATGTGATGTACTTTTAGCCGATGTGAGAGTTCAGCCTCTCCAGATCACACTTCTCATTCAGTGTGTAAAACACTGAACACACATCCACTGAACATGAGGTGAGTTTAACACGTTCCGATGTTTGTCTGGTCTCCTGAGCACAGCGCCACCACGCGTCAGACTGTTGTGAATCCTGAGTGCGCTGCGGTTCACCGCCCGGGCCCGTGTGTCTGCTCAGATTGTGTGTTGTTGTTGTGAATGTCGCCAGGCCGCTGAAGGAAAGTCTGGGTTTCCTGTTGCTGGGCCTCTGTCTGGACTCGGTGCTGTCCAGGAGCTGCTCCAGCTTCTTCTGCCGGAGATCGCACCGTGTCAGCGGCTTGCGCGGAGTCGAGCCCGGGGAACCTCTCTTCCTCACCCCGTACCTGGAGAAAGGAGCCATAGATGAAGGTGGGGAGAACTGCTTCATAATGATCAGATGATCAGAAGCTGCAGGGTCTCATCCACCAATCAGCTGCATGCATTCTTTTGTGTTTCATGAATGTTTTGGCGTCTTGATTTTTGCAGCCAGGAATTTGAGTATGGTGGGACAGCTGCCAGGGTCCAATGTGAAGAGCTATGCTGGGTACCTGACCGTCAACAAGACGTTCAACAGTAACCTCTACTTCTGGTTCTTCCCCGCTCTCATGGTAGGATCAGACTCAAGTTCAAGTTTTATTTGTCATTTCCAAGTTAAAGGTCCAGTGTGTGAGTTAAGGTGAAATCGATCTATTGGCAGAAAGTGAATATAAAATAATCTTACTGCTTTTCTTAGTTAATTAAATTAACGACTAGGTGGTGCTGAGATCTGTAACTGTATTCTCTGCCCCTCCTGACAGCCAGACCAAGCCAAGGCTCCGGTCCTGCTCTGGCTACAAGGCGGCCCCGGTGGCACCTCCATGTTCGGCCTTTTTGTGGAGCACGGCCCATATGTGGTTTATAAGAACATGACTGGTAAGAAGTGATGCTGTCCGACGTGTTAAT